AAGTCGTTACTGGTAGGATACACTGATTGTATAATTCGGTTTTGAGGTTTAGGGGTATGTCCATATTCAAGATGTCTTTTATTTTGGCATATGCCGCCCAGGTTTGCCGTATTCTCTCCTTTATTTCGAGTTCTTGGTTAACCTTGCCAGTAGTTAGTGTTTGTCCTAGGTATTTGTTTGTAGTTACTTTTTCGTTCATCCTCTACGTTTGATGTCATGTACTTCGTTTTATCAAAGTTGATTTCTAGGCCTATGCGCTTCATGGCCCTGTAGATGTCGTCGATAAGTGTGGCCAGTTCTTTTCTACTTCCGGCTATCACTACTATGTCGTCGGCAAACATGAGGTGGTTGAGTTTTTCCCCATTGATATTAATGCCTCTGTTTTGGAGGTCGATTGTTTTTAGTGCGTCTTCCAGAACTGGGTGACATAGGGTTTCCTTGGCGCACTCCCCTTTTAATTGCAACTTTGTCGGACTTTTCGTGTAGCTGGATTTGTAGAGTCGCCTTACGGTAAATGTTGTTGATTAGGTTTGCGTATCTGTGTCCTATTCTAGCGTGTTTTAGGGCTTGCTGTAGTGCCCATATTTCCACCGTGTCGAAAGCATTTCTAAAATAAATGAATGCTAGCCATAAAGGTATATTGTATTCCACCATCTTCTCGATTAGTGTTCTCATCGTTTGCAGGTTTTCTGTAGTACTGTAACCCTCCCTAAACCCAGCCTGCTCTTTTGGCTGGTAGTAGTCTAACTTTGGTGTGAGACGGTTGGTTATTATTTTCGAGAATAATTTATATATTTGGGGTAGCAGGCTGATCGGTCTGTAATTTTCTAGGTTCTCGGTGTCTCCCTTTTTGTGAATGATTGTCACGTGGGCGTTTTTCCAGTCCTGTGGTATGTCATGTCCTCCTTTTCCAGGCATTTGTTGAACAGCATTTCTAGTTGGTCCTCAAGTATATCTCCGCCTTGCTTTAACATCTCCGTTAATATGCCATCTTCGCCTGCTGCTTTCCCGTTTTTCATATGGTGTAATGCTAGTCTGATTTCGTCTTTTGTAATCTCAGGTATGTCTTCAGAGTTGACGTTCATGACTTTCACTTCCTGGTCTTCTTCGGATATGTCGCTAGTTACTTTCGTCTCGTATAGGTCTGTATAGAATTCTTGTACTGTTCTTATAATTTCGTGTCTTCCTTCGATTCTTTGTCCTGTTTTGTCTTTGATTCTGACAATTTCTTTCTTTGTGTTCGTCGTAAGTCTTCTGAACACTTTCGTCCCTTTGTGTTGTTCCAGTACTTTCTGCGCGATTTTCTCATTGTGTTTTCTGATGTCCTCCTTTGCCATCTTTCTGGCGAATTTATTTGTTTCGGCATATTCTGCTGATGATTTTTTGTTATTTGTTATAAGTTGTCTTTTATCTAGCATGTTTAGTGTATGCGCGCTTAGTTTATTTTGCTTTTTAGTTTTTGTTTCTGTGTACGCTTCTGCTGCTTGGTTTAGGGTTCTAGTGATCGTTTTGTTTGCTTCGTTTATGTCATGGGTACTCGGTCTCTGCTCTTTGAATCTGTTTCCCAGGTATATTTGGAATTTATTTGGGTCGTGTTGAAGTTTCTCTCTGTCAATCTGTTTGTGTATCGACTTTTTGATTTTTCTGCAACGCTCTAGTTTTTAGTTTATGCTTATTCTTGTACTCACCAGACGATGGTCACTTCCAGTATTAAATCTGTTCAATACCTCAACGTTTTGTATTATGTGGATGTTCTTCGTTAGAATATAGTCGATTTGCTGAAAGTTCTCCCGTCTGGGTTTGCCCAGGTCCATTTGCGGTTGCGTTTTTTTTTGAAAAAGGTGTTGGCGTTGTAGAGATGTTCTTCTTTTAGAAAGTCAGCCATCATTGAGCCTCTGGGATTTCTTCTGCCTAGCCCGTGTTTACCTACATATTTTTCCTCTGAGTCTGCTTGGCCTCCAATCTTGCAGTTGAAGTCGCCGATCACTAAAACTTGTAATGTTTTATTTCTGTGCATTCCTTCCGAGATATCCTCGTAGAATTTGCTGACGTCTTCGTCATCGGCGGTGCTTGTGGGAGAATATGCCTGAATTATCTTGAGTGTTTCCAGTTTGTTTATTTGTAACGTTATGTATATCACTCGTTCGGATATACCTTTGAGCAAAGGAGAATGTTATTCACAAAATCTGGCTCATCTTGAATTCTTACAAACATTTCCCTACAACACTCTAACTTTTGTTTCTTATTTTCGTCCGTTAAGTTTTGAACAGGAAGAAATTGTCCAAGGTGAAGTAAATTTATTGTGGATTGAAAGAAAAGTCCTATAGCCTTCATAATATACAGGGTGTTTATTTTAAAACTTACCACCAGAGTATCAGAGTTGAATATTTTCGAAAAAATCCCTGAAACACATCAACTATAATTTGAAGGGAGATGAATTTTTATGCAAAATTCACCTCCCCCATTTCAATCCCTCAGCCCCAAAGCCACCCCGTAGAAAATTTTAAACGGGAAGGGGGGTCAAGGGATACATTATTTGGAAATATTGACGGTTGAAAATTGATTTTTTTGCAACTTGAACAGGCTGTAAAACCTAAACGGTCAATTTTAGAGAAAAACTGATCTTACATTCGTAACTTAGATTTCCATAAAACTATTATTTGACACCAGCTTTGAATTTCATTGGAGATTAAATTTAATTGTAATTTTCAATCATGGATTAAGTTCAAAGTTGGTGTCAAATGATAGTTTATGAAAATATAAGATGAGAATGTAAGATCAGCTGTTCTCCAAAATCAACCGTTTAGGTTTTACAGCCTGTCAAAGTTGCAAAAAAGTTAATTTTTAACTGTCAATATTTCCAAAACTGTTGAACTTAGGTATTGAAATTTAGTACCAAAATGTATGGAATAAAAAACCGAAAAAACCCTCCATAATGATGTATCACTTGACCCCCCTTCCCGTTCAAGATTTTCTTGGATGTGGTTCTGGGGGCTGGGGGTTGAAAGGGGGAAGGTGAATTTTGCATAAAAACTCATCCCCCTCAAATTATAGTTTACGTATTTCAGGGATTTTTTCTAAAATTTTACAACTCCGAGACAATAGGGGTGGTAAGTTTTAAAAGGAACACACTGTATTTATTTGAGTTCGAGAAAGAGAGAAACATTATTTACCAGATTGCAGTCAACATGGTTACAAAGTTTTATTGATTGATATTCTATGTTGATAAATTAATTAGGAGGAAATTTAATAAGATTTTGACTGGTTCCTTATCAGGCACCCTCAGTTCTATTCCACCTTTCAAACTACCAAAATATGTAACAATAACTCCTTTCTACAGCAAAGAACTTTCTATGTTCGAGCAAAATGGAACCAGCTCTGATTTCTGATTGGTACTCAGTCGACAGCGGAGTACCACAAGGATCTGTACTTGCTTCTCTTGTTTTTATACTGTACATTTCCGATCGGTCAAAAACTATTCAAACCAAAGTAGAATCCTTTGCAGATGAGTATTACAAAAAACTATATGGAAATCCTTTAACACAACTGCAGCAACTAAAGGAAGACATGAATGAGCACTGTAGAAGAATGGACAACCACATTTCAGCTAAAACTATATGAAAAAAAGTGTACTGTTTTACATATAGGACGAAATAACTCTAGATACAACTACCAAATAAATAGCATCGAACTCAGAAAAGTCTCGGAACAGAAAGACCTAGGAGTCTATGTCACCGATGATCTGAAATCGGAAACCCATATATCCCACACAGTAAAGAAGGCCAATCAACTGATATACCTTATGAAACAAGCTTTTGAAAATCAAACTGTAAAAATGATAAAAAAAACTGTACACCACTTACATTAGATCAAAACTAGAATATGGCCACACAGTTTGGTCTCCTTACTACATCAAAGACATAGATCTCTTAGAAAGTGTGCAGAGAAAAATAACCAAAATTCCAATTGAACTTAGAAATCTGCAATACAAACTAAGACTACAAAAATTCCAATTGACAACACTCAGAGAAAGAAGAGAAAGAGGAGACCTAATTGAAATACATAAGGTCCCTAATGGCTACTACTCTACAGACCTAAAAACTGAAACTAACTAAACTAAACTAAAACTTTCTTGGATTCGATCTCTTTATGGGTTGGCAATTTTTAAAATCGCGAATGTTGGACGAACAAATGAGTGCGAGAATTAATAGCCTTCTGCAACGTGAGTTTTATACTATTTTCTTTACTTTCGAATTTATTTATCTTTTTTTTTTTTAAGGTTTGTTGGCGATTTTTTTTGCAAAATATATCAAATGATAACGACAATAATGGCCGTTTCCACCAACTATTTTAGGGGAGTCTCAAAGATAAGTATTCCCCAAAATGACATTTTTACATGGATAAATATTTGTCAGTATAATATACATATTGTAGGCCTTGATGGGCTATTTCAATTTAGATTTTTTTTCTATATTCAACTCTTGGAACATTTAGATAGAATATAATAATATAATAAATATTTTAATAATCAATTAGACACAGACTTTTGTATTTCGTGCAAAATTGTGCTCTAAAAATACAGAACTCTGTGTCTAATTATAATATACCTACATAGGAAACTATAAAGACCCAATTTTTATAAATTCAAAACCTCTGCAATCTCTAAAGTGAAAGTAATTGATATCTGATCCATCAAAGATGATCACGTGAAAAATAGACTTCCTAAGAATTAAATAATTGAGCAGCTAAAACGCTCAAGGAGTAGGAAAACACCATTCCGTTATGAAACTTAAAGTGAAGCCAGGTTTTGGTAGGTAAACCATTGGATTGGCTATACCACCATTATTATGGTGACCAAAATACCTCGAAAAACGGCTTCACTTTTCAATTGCATACTCCTACTCCTCATACCTAAATAGTGCATGTTTTATTAGTCCACAAACAACAAAATATTGTTTGCTCTAGAAATTGATAACAAATAGACAAATTTAATATCTTACCAGATTCAAACCAGCAATCAAAAACTTCCAAAACTCTCTTCAAAGGTGGATTCCCTGGAGTACAACTGGGAATTTCCAGATGATCAATACTCTCTCTATGCAAATCTGTTATCTTTTGACCCGTCAACTCTTCCAATTCACTTATACTTCCAATACAACGGATTTCATCGCCAGATGGCGAAACCCATAATGGAATTGGGGTACCCCAGTATCTATTCCTACTAACTGCCCAATCGCGAGCCTCTTTCAACCAATTTCCAAAACGTTTTTCTTTGACAAACTCTGGCACCCAATAGGTCTTAGCAGTGGCATCAATTAACTGTTTCTGCATATGTTCTACTCTCACAAACCATGATGGAACGGCCCTGTATATTAGAGGGGTGTCAGAACGCCAACAGAATGGGTAACTGTGCTTGACCTAAGAAATAGAAAATTAGGTTTTGTAATTTGTTCAAACAGTAATGTGTTATGTGTCGTGTGTATCACTTTCTGTATTTGTTTGGTAAATAAATATAACTTAGATTTTTTTAACTTTGATGATAAAGGAAAGTAGGCATTATTATTATTCTTTTCTCGAGATTTTGGATGGGGCACCACTACCATCCTATGGCAAGGACTCAATAAGGTGTTCCCCCAAATTGGTTTTGAAATCGGTAGGGGATGAAGAGTGAAAAATATCAGAAAACTCAAATAAAAGATTTTTTAATGTAATACCACAACCATCTTTCAGCAGAGATTTAATGAAATATGCTGGGATATTGCCCCAAGTTGGTAACGTAATGTAAGAATAAGAAATGATACATAAAATTTGATTTATAAAAAAAAAAGGAATAATATCCTAGATTAGGTTAGCAATTTTACCTGTGATTGATGTATAAGCCTTTTATTAGCCTTCAAATGGGAAATTATATTTTTATCAGCATCCTTCACATACTGGCCTCTAAAGTCAGTTACAGGATCCACAAATCTTCCAATACTATCCAAAGGACACACCGGCTCCATATCTTTTGTGATAATACCTGCAACTAGGCACACTCTGTAATCGTCTTCTCCAAAATAGGGCGCGTTATGGACAATTCCAGTACCAGATTCTGAGGTTACATAATCGTCAACTAGCACTCTAAAAGCACCTAGAAAAAATATATGAATTTTTTTTATCAATATTTTTTTTTTCAATACCTTTTTCTGCAAAATGCTCAAAATAAGGAAATACAGGCACGTATCTTAGACCCTCCAAATCTTTTCCAGGAAATTTCTTCAAAATTTCAAAGTCTCCTGGTTGAAATGTAGATTCAATCCTAGCTTCCATTAAAATAAAAATGCTGCCAGTTGAGATTTGCTTCAGCCGCACATATTCCAAAGTGGGATGTACACAAGCGGCCATGTTACTAGGCAAAGTCCACGGTGTAGTAGTCCAAACGAGAAGAGCAGCATTGTCACTATCATTTATTAATGGTAAGCTCACTGTCACTGCAGGATCAACAACATCTTTGTAATTTTGACCAGATTCAAAGTTTGATAATGGTGTACTACATGCAGTGGAATAAGGCATTACTTTGTTGCCCTTGTAAACCAAGCCTTTTTGGAATAGTTGCTTGAAAACCCACCACACTGACTCCATAAACCAGGGATAAAGGGTTTTGTAGTCGTTTTTGAAATCGATCCATCTTCCCAGCCTAGTAATAGTAGCTTCCCATTCGGCACTATATCTAGTAACAATTTTCCTGCACTCAGCATTGTATTTATCTATGCCCATCCTCATAACATCATCAGGACCTTTAATACCTAATGCCTTATCAATTTCAAATTCCACTGGTAAGCCATGGGTGTCCCAACCGAATCTTCGTTCAACATGGAAGCCTTGTTGATGAGCGTACCTTGTGACTACATCTTTTATTGTTCCAGCCAATATGTGTCCATAATGTGGAAGACCAGTGGCAAAAGGTGGACCATCGTAGAAAGTGTATCTAGAATAAAAAATATATATATTTTTTTTCATTGGAATCAGTTGGTAAAACCATGGTTTGTGTGGAATATAGATAATTTATTTATTTATTTATTTACTAACGTATCAATATCTACAAGTTTACAAGTTAACTTAAACTAACTAACCTAAAACAGCCCTTTTTGCACAACTCTTAAATTTTTTTATGGGAAACATTAAAGAATTCCAGTGACTCACAAAATTATTCACATTTGCTGATACTCTGTTAACAGGACTATCAATAAGTACCAAGAATTGCAAATTGGTATATGCATCAAGGTCTGCCTACGTGTTGGATATCCAGGTATACGAAACTGAAAAGTTTCCAAACATTCTGGACTCTTGATATAGTGGTTTAGATAGAACATTAAATGCAAAGCATATGTCATAGTATTCTCTTTTACGAACAAGAGATGCTAAATCTAGGTATAACATAGTCTGATCATTATCAAGTTCAATACCATTGCAAAAAAGTTTATATTTAGCATATTTTATAAAAAGTTGAACATTTTCAAGTCTGTTTATATGAACCTGATAATATGGCGACCAAATTATGTTTGAAAATTCCAGGATGGATCGAACCAGCGACGTATACAACACCTTCAGAGCAAACACACTCCTAAAGTCATTACTGGTTCTTTTGATAAAACCTAATAATCTATTAGCCCTACCTATTATATACTCAAAGTGCTCGACGAACATAAGTTTGGTGTCCAAGTGAACGCCAAGGTCCTTAACAACAAACACCTCAGTAAGAACAAAGTTATTAATGGAATATTCCATAGTATTCATCAGGCGGGTGAAGCGCATAAAGCAGCATTTGTCGATATTAAGTGGCATGTCGTTGAGTTTACACCAATCGTATACAATGTCCAGATCATTTTGCAGAAGAAGAATAGCACGAGTTGATGATACCTCCCGAAATATCTTTAGATCATCCGCAAACATTAGAAAATTGGAGGAAAGTAGATTGCCTAGGTCATTGATGAATAAACTGAACAAGAAAGGTCCCAAATGGGATCCCTGAGGAACCCCAGGTGTGACATCGAACTTATCCGAGAGATAACCATCAATTCTCACCTGCTGAATCCTACCTGACAAATAAGACTCCAACCAAGAAATCAAAGTACCCGCAATGCCATAACTAGACAACTTTGAGAGTAGAAGAGTATGATTGACCTTATCAAAGGCCTTACTAAAGTCAGTATACAGGGTGTCCCACTAAGGTCGGCCAGGTACGATATTATGGAGATCATAGACCTTACGTAACTTGAAAACGAATGCAGATATTGAATTGCGGTTTGCACCAAAATGTAGATATTTTTTTGCTCTTTAAGCAAAGCAATACAAAAATAATATTATGCCATTTGGATTTTTCATGAAAATTAGAAAAAACTGGATCTTGAATAAACATCGCCCTCTAGAAGACGCGGTGGAAACTATCGACCTCGAACGAAGTGGTGTTCTTAATAACAATGAAATTCTCTTCCAAATAAACCCAAATTGAATGAGTTTGAATAAGGGGTATGGAAGATACAGCAATTTAAAAAAAAAAAATCACCAGCTTCCCCCACCCTTATTACTGAAGATACAAAGAAAAGCCTAATAACCAAACAGGCGCAAAAATTAATGAACTTTTGATTTCTGTTGTTAAAACAGTATCTTAATATAGCGGTTTCTTGAGAAAAGTTGAATTTTTAGCTATATCATCGTAAATGCGCCCCCTAGCGGTCATCCTAGAAACTTGAAAATAATTTCCATCAATTTCTCTTGGCCGATTTAGTGAAGAAAAAAAAATCCCGAAGCTGTAAGGTCTATGGTTTCCATAATATCGTACCTGGCCGACCTTAGTGGGACACCTGGTATATAGTATGTATCTCACAACCATTGTCGAATGATCTATTGATAAAGTTAGTGAATACAAACAAGTTGGTATCAACGGAGTGGCCGGAGGTGAATCCATGTTGCTGATTTACTATGATTTGATGGAAGGCAACCGACAAAAATGGATGATCCTTAAAAGTTAGATGATTATCCACAATAAAACCAAGATATTTAGTCTTGTCTACTACCTCGAAAGTGGTGTTTTCCATTTTTATACTCAAATTACTCAATTTAAATTGTTTTTGAAATGTATCACTTCCTATAAGCATACATTTTGTTTTTTGAATGTTTAACTTTAATACATACTATTAAACCACTTGTGTAGTTGTGCGAGTACCAAATTAATAGTGTCAGTTTAATGATTTAAATCATTCGAACTAAAATATAATAATGTGTCATCTGTCTATAAAGAGCAGATTGTACCTTCATGGAATGAGTACAAGGAATGCAATGCAAAACAATGTTGTATTACAAAAACCACAACATGCAGTTTGCGATATTTCTCTGATTTGTGATATTGTTGGTGAGGGTTTCTATTTCGATTTTTCTAGAATTTTTGTAATGCTTTAATTACAAGTATTTTGTTAATATAAGTTAATTAGAAAGTAATATTAAGCACTGACATATACCTCGGAGTATACCTCAAATGTTAAATAAATGATGCAGTAAATTGGTGTACACAAAGTATTTTAAATACCATCATACACCAAAAACTTTTAGCAGTAATGAGATAGAGCATATTTTAGAATAATTATTACCAACAAATTGAAACGTTAATTATTAAGTACCTATTTATACTGCTAATAAATAAATAAATAAATAAATATCACCTAATTCCTATCCAGAAACATTTTAGCCTCAGACACACCACCAAGGGTACCAAGCGAGGTACCAAGTAAACGTGAAGCTAACAATCACCTAATAATGGAAAAAAAATCTGTATTTCAGTTATAAATTAACTGATCCAATTTTTTCTTCGATTATGTAACAGCACCTAATTGCAATGGGTGCAACAACATTTCAGCTACTGTCATCAAATTTGTTGCAAATACTATTGCAAATACATCCCCAAGAGAATGTAAAGCCAGCAGTCCCCTAATAATGAAAGAAATCTGTAATTCAGTTAATAATTAACTGATTCAAGTTTTTCTTTGAATATTCAGGAGCACCCGAGGGAGCGCCTAAAAAGCATCTAAGTAATTCTAATACAAAATAAACATATTTTTTACTATAGGAGACTGCTAGCTTTCATAAACCTAGCAGTTCCTCAGTTTTTTTTTGAGTTTCTCAAAAACTAGCGGAGCACCTTATTTTTGATTAGAGTAGAGGCTCTAATTGCCACCTAATCATTGGGCCTTTTCGGGTTTGGAAAAAGGACGGTTCTAGAACGGTTCAAAACAATCGGACAGTTTATCAATCAACAAAATGACAACAACTCGGCTATCACAAATTTCAATAATAAATTGTGCGACTGTTTTGAACCGTCCTTTTTCCAAACCTGAAAAGGCCCATTATATAAACCCCAAACTTTTTTTCCACCATCGGACTGCTAAGTTTATAATAGACCTCATTATATCAAGGATCAGAACCTGGATCAAAACACAATTGAACCCACATTTCCCTTAGAAACAGAAACCCACCCCAGGATTAAAATAACCAACATCATATTCACAGCAGAAAAAGAAGAAACTGCAATCAAATCACTAAAACCAAACTTTTGTCCAGGGCTTGATGAAATCACATTAGATTTTCTCAAAAATTGTGTACCTGCAAGTACTGAAAGAGCCATTGTCTCACATGAGCACATAAGAATTCCCTTTGGCTTGGAAGAAAGCAGTGGTATCACCAATATACAAGAAAGGAAACTAATAACATGCTGAAAATTATAGGCCAATCAGTCTAACGAGTGCACTATGCAAATGCATGGAAAAAATAACTGCCAAAGAACTCACTGATTATCTGCCAGAAAATGTCTCGCCTACACAGAACAACATGGCTTTCTCCCAGAAAAATGAACATTAACAAAATCTTGTTAGCAAACCTGATCGCCAGGCTATGGACACTGGCTGATGACAACCATGAACCAACTAATTTATTTACCTTGACTTTGAAAAGCATTCGATAAAATACCAACAGAAATTTTGCTCTATAAATTGAAACATGAGGTTGTTAGAAGGCTTCCTAACTGAACGTACTTTCCAAGTACGTGTGGATTTCTCACTCTCAAAGGAGCACAAATTACACAGCAGTCTTCCTGAAGGATCAGTTCTTGGCCCACTGCTATTTATAACATATACAGGATGTCCGGAAAGTCAACGATAATACTGAAAGGACTGATGGAGCAACTCATTAGCATCCAGATACCAAACATAATATGCCCTTGGTAAAAAATCGATAGTTTCCGAGGAATTGAATCAGATTTTCGAGTGTTACCTTAAAATTTTCATCATTCTTATTCTGAATTCAGTTTTGCAATGGTGAATAAACATTTCATTTGACAAGATCAACAAAAAAAGTTCAAGTTTAAAGCTTTTACCGAAAAATCTTTTTAAAGTGAAGTATCAGAAGTATTCACTTTAAAAGGATTTTTTGGTAAATGTTTTTAACTTTTAATGTTGGCCTATGAAAAATGAAATGTTTATTTACCATTGAAGAACTGAATTCAGAATCTATAATGAAAATTTCAAGGCGACACTCGAAAATCTGATCCAAGAAGATAATTTTAACGAATTTTATTAAAATAATGATATCTCGGAAACCATCGATTTTTTACTAAGGTCACATTATGTTTTTCTAGATGCTAATGAGTTGCTCTACCAGCCCTTTCAGTATTATTGTTAACTTTCCGAACACCCTGTATAAGTGATCTTTATCAAGGGCTTCTCACCAACAATGCCACTAGCTGATGATGGAAGCTTATACACAAATACACTGCTACATGAAGCTGAATTACTAATAATACCAATGGACCTTAACATGGTAAATATATTTATCAAAGTAGGTATTTATCATAGAATATTTTTTGCAAGAAATCCATACTTTCATTAAGGCAGGCACAATTTTTATCACTCTTGGTTCTGTTTTGTTGTTTTTTAGCTTCTACCTTAGACAAGATGGAACATGGACATGGACATGGATTTCGAATCAAACAGCAAAATAAATAAAAGTTAATAATTGATCACTTTTTTTTATATACTCATATAAGATGTTTCGTCACCTACCTTGGTTTTCCTTTGGATTGCTTCAAACACGTTTCGAAAGCTTTAATATCCTTCCAATATGTTAAGATTTTGTCTTCTTCAGTCGGAAAGTTTATAGTTTCCGGAACTCTAGGAACTTCTTGGATAGATTCCCCCGCCGACATTCTATATTTTGCTTTTTATTCAATAAATAAATAAATAAATAATTCAAAATTTATAATAGAAAAATTTCATCACTTTTCTTATGCCCTTTTTGTTGGCGGCAAAAGTGAGGTTAGGTTAATTTAACTTAACGTCATTCGTCATTTCATCAAGCGGTTTTCATTTGTATCTCCCAGATTTGCTCCGAGCAGATCGACTCCTAAGACCGTCGAGTAATTATCGTCAAGAGAGAGCCACTCCACTCCCCTGCACTTCATGATAATTTACTTTCAACATTACGCGATCACCACTACATTTTTTCGAATTGACGCATTTTGTATTTTGTCCGTTTTGATCCAAGAATATTGATTTAGCGTCTGCTTCTGCTATCGGTATTTATGAAGCAAATTTGGTCCTGAACCACTCTAAGAGCGAGATACTGCATTTTTTTTTTAAATTCTGAGCGTCAAGCTTCCCATGCACTTGAATGCCAAAAAGCGCGACATCAGTGGACTCGGGCGACTGACGACGGGAGTGCTCTAGAGTAATGCAGGTTTACCCTAACATCGACGCCCTAGAGCAGCTCTGAAAAGTCTGTTCGGCGTGGTGTAGTGTAGATGCCAGGGGTGCGTTCATAAATGAACGCCCGGCGCTCCCCGATCGCCCAAATGCGTTCATAAATGACTTCGGCTTCACCGGTGTCAATGTTCCAGGCGTTCATAAATGTTCGTTGGTGTGCACCCGGAGCGCGCCCGAATCGACCTGCTAGCTGACATGGGTAAAAATGACCCGACATGCGCAGTACGTTTCAGGAGTGGACGTTTGTTTGTTTTCGGTTTTCGGGTTCGCAGTTTTCGTTTATTATTGATAACCTCGAAAAAGGAGATTTTTGATATTTTTAAACTGTTGAGTATTATTTATTGAAGTTGGTTGAAGGGTTCTATCATACTATACGGAAACACTAAAACTTACAAGTTGGATATACTTTCTTCATAAAACCGTTTAATTCTTCTTTAAAATGTTTATCCGTTAGATGGCGCTAGTGGCTTTATGTCCGTTATTTAACTTCGATATTTTGAATTTGAATTTTCATATAACATTTATCCGTTTTCGTTCGTGTTCTTTTGCTTAAAAAAATATTAACATAAAAATTGAAAATATCTATAAATAAATAAATAAATAAATTCTTTATTTACGGACATGCCATTTTTACAAAGGTAGACTTAAAGTGTAGGTACACGCAATAATAAATATTTGGAATAACAAGTAGGCAACAGACAAGTTAGTATAAAAAAACAATATTACATAAGCCTAAACAAATATTTTGTAGTAGGTATCAAAACATAAACAACATAATACGCTTAAAATTGAATACAAATAGAAAAAACGATCATTTTAGGATCGACTTTAAAATTCTTTTGAATCTATCCAAACTTATGTTAAAAACATCCAAATCAGTCTTCAAAATAATATCATTCAGAGAACGACAGCTTCTAAGTAAAGGTGAATGGTAACCATAATTGGTTCTACGAAAATCAAGGTTAAACAATGTGTTTCCTCTTAAATTGCTAGATGGTACATGTAAGCCAATTCTAGCAAGTAAGTCTGGAGAATCAATAGAATTATTAACAATCTTAAACAAAGTACACATATCAAAAAACTGTCGCCTCTGGTTCAGATTTTCAAGATTTAGGACAGACATTAACTCATTATAATTTATAGATTTACTTGGGATGCCCAATCGATATGCAATGGATCTTAAAAACTTTTTTTGGATTCGTTCCAAGTGTGAGATGTGCACAGCATAATAAGGGGACCAGACAGGGCAAGCATATTCTACAACTGATCTAACAATTGCACAATAAATGTTTCTTAGGGTGTAGATATTAGTAAATTCTTTTAGTGACCTGAACATAAAGCCTAGTAATTTCATTGCTTTATTAGCAGTTATTTCAATGTGCTCTGTGAAGCTTACATTAGTGTTGAAATAGACTCCCAAGTCTCTAATAGTTTCAACCCTGTTAATCTCCAAATCACTATCTATCAATTATGTTTGCCATTATCCATAAAAATGATAAAGAACTTATAAGTTATTTGCAGCAGGTGAATCTTCTGAAAGATTCTTTTCGGTGGAAAATTCGGAACTGCCGAAAGAAGTGTGATTTGTTATATAAAAATGGTGCGTCGTCACTCAATTATGTGTTTTTTTGCAAAAAATGCAGAAAAACATATTCCGTATTAACGGGAAGGTATTTTGAAAAAATGAACGTTCCAGTCCGTGACGTTTTATTTATTATGTGGAATTGGGCCTGCGAATGCAGAGTTTTGTCAGCATCAGCTCTATTGGGAAAATCCAGGAACGCTTTAGTACAGCAATATACATGATATTTTGTCATGGAAATTACTCCAAGAAGATGATTTATTTTTATTAGGTAAGAATTTTTTTTTCTAAAATATCAACATACAAAGATCATTTATTTCGAGGACAGGTTAGTTTGGGTTAAGTATTTGAGATTTTTTCATTTCCTATAATAGGTACTAACATATGAAGACTAGCACTTATTACGAAGATTATTGATTTTATGTTTTTTTTTTTTAAAATGAAAAAGTTCTAAAATTAAATCATCTTTTTTTTTACGGGAACCAGAAAAAAATGATTACTTTACTATTGATTCATTTTTTATTTATGTGTCATTATCAAAAAAGAGAGCGATAGTGATATTAAACTGATAAGAATTGATATTATTCATTGATCTGTGTCAAAGGTTGAGAAGAGGATCATCTGTTATAATTTTTATTTTTTTTAGGCGGAGAGAATCATTTGGTACAGATTGATGAATCGGTAATTTCTATAAGAAAATATAACAGAGGTCGTTTGGTGAAAGAGTCGTGGATATTAGGAATTTATGATGCGACTGAAAAAAGGGGATATATTCAATATGTCAAAAATCGATCCGCTGCGATTCTTCTACCGATTATAAGAAAACATGTAAGGGTCGGTAGTGAAATATGGACAGACAATTGGCGCGCTTACTCTAGATTAGTAGACTATGGTTACATCCACCGAACAGTAAACCATAGCAAATATTTCAAAGATCCTATTACAGGGGTCTGTACCAACCAGGTGGAAGGGTATTGGTCTGGCTTGAAAAAATATCTTAGAGCTATGGGTGTTATGCATTCAAAATATTGGCCACAATATATTGACCAATATATGTGGAAGCAGATATATGGCAAAAATGCCATTCAACGAATGTATAACTTGACATCGCAAATTGGACAAAAATATTAAATGGTTTCTTGTAAGATTAGTTAGTTGATTAATTACATTTTGTTCCCTAAAGAAGTTTGCTTTGTTTAGTTTAAGTAGTTTTTAATTTAACTTTTCCATTCTTATATTATAATGTATAGATACAAATGCTTAATGGAACTTATTATTGGTTAGAAATATAAGTAAATTCTAAGTGAAACTATGACTATGTTTTTTTTTTGTTCATTGTTATTTAAGCTCAGGAAATATCACACAATGTGGCAACGTTGATATCACCTTGCATTTTTATTACGTAAAAATGTCGTATATTCGATTTATGAAATGGTCAATTTCCGTCAGTTTGAACTGAATTTTCTTGCAAAAAAATGAAAAAACCCGCATTTTTTTTTTCATAAAATTATTATTTGAGTTGTCTATTTTACTGTAAAAGCTTCAAAAATGGCAAATTCGTGTTTCCGGATAGTGTGATGGACCCGGTTGAAGTTGTTAATATGGATGAGGAAATGGAAATTAATCCCGAGAATTTCAAACTGATCGAAATTGATGGATCACCATTTGCAAACGATGAAAATCACATATATTTACAACATGTTCTAGGTTAGTATTTAATTTACAGGTTTCTGATAATAATTACAATAGTTTCTCTGAATCAATCATTAGTTTTGACCATTTTATATAGTTTTGAGAGCGACCCAAGTTGGTGATTGTGTCATTAAACGTCCCACGAATTTCGCTACAAATCTTTTATGAAACGATAGTTCACTTACTGAAATATTATTTTGATCCAAGAAAAGTTGTGGCAAATTACCTAATTCACTTTTTCTCTAGAGAAAATAAGTAAAATGAGATGCTCGATCTGGTGAAGTATTACAAGGTTAATAGGTATATTTTCTTTGAAATGCCCAGGCCTGGTTAGATGCGATGCGGGAAATATTAAATGAATAAATTTATTTGCTCAAATTAATAGGAGAATATTGTTATTTAAAATCATCCCTTGAATTGTTTCGAAAAGCATGATTTTCCAGCCAGTCTAGCGGTATCGCCGGTTGGATTGTCGGAGGAGTTTGGTTTGATGGCGGTGAGTTTGGTTAGTATAATTTTTCTCATTTCTTTATGCGCTTTATACCTATTTTTTGAAATTTAATGTAATGTTTTTTTCGTTGAAACGCGTGTATTCCGCAATTTTTTCTTTTCAAAAAAATACTATTAGAACCAGAACTTACGTCTAAAAATTGTTTTTTCCTTTAATTGGTGGGACGCTATATGACACAAGACCCCCATTATTATTATAAACCATATAATATGCTACTTTTGCAACTACATGAATCTGATAGAACTTGTAGGGTATCTTTCAAATGTGTAGGATATGTAGTTCCTATTTTTTTCAGATGGAAGCATTATAATTGCACCTTTAGATGAAGAGATAAAAAATATGTTTTTTCCATGTCAAGCCACACAGCAGTCAACTTCAATGCATAAGAGCAGTGGAACTCGAACATGGACTCGATCTGACATTCTAGCATTAATAGATGCAGTGAAAAACCATCAGGAAAAATTCAAGTCCAGTACAATGAAAAATGACGCTGTTTGGAAAATTATTTCTGCTACATTGGAAAAAAAAGGAAAATGTTTCACAGCGACTCAGTGTAAAGACAAATATAAGTATCTCAAAGGAAAATATATGAAAAAAAAAGATAATATGAGTGACAGATCCAGTGGTGCGGAATTTATAAAATTTGAATATTTCCACGAAATGGACGAATTTTTGGGAACGTCCCATAATGCAAACCCTATTGCCTTGGCTTCTAACATCAAAAAGCACCAAGGTAAATATACGACTGGGGAATTGTAAAAGAATTACATTGTCATCTATCACTACATAGATGTATATAGGATGGAATTCTTAAATCAAATAAATTC